AACTGGGGGCTTAGCTCTGTTACATTTTCATAGACTGTTTGAGAACCACAGTGAAGAACAGTTCATTGAAACTCCCTTCAAGTTGGGACCTTACCCTTTTTCTATGCATTTTGATGATGCTGGCCATTTTTTCTTCGTACCCAGTGCAGATACTTCAGATTTATATTAAGTGTGAGACGCAGATGTGGGCGCCCTGTTTTTTCCGCCAACGGAAAATGACTAACCCTGATCTGCTGGTCCTTAATGCGACCAACTGGGTAAATTTTGCCAATTTATGGTAGATAAGAATTTTGGATAGGGGTTGAGTGGGTTAGTGACAGGACTGCGTGACCAGATGACACAGCCTCGCTTGCAATGAAGAAATTGAAGCTGTGACTCGTGTCACTTCCTTCCGCAGCAGAATCTATTCCTATCCTCAGTGTTCGCCCAGTCAGTTAGCTTGTTCAAAATCAAACCCGGATCGCACCAGACACTCTAATTGAATTGACTATTGGTAAACAATTTTAATACCTGCCAGAAATTATGGTTTTTCTCTCAGCTTGGGTTTAATTAAACGAAAGGGTGGCCCAGTGAGAAAAGCCACTTCGTATGCAAGCATACGGTTTAATTTCCATTTGCCTCAAATAAGTAGCTGATAGAGTGAGCCGGAGTTGATCGGATTTTCAAAGTAGCACAGCAAGACTACTTAAGTTGGGAGTATTTTACTATCTCGTAAACGTTCGTTGAGATTATAATGGAGTATCAACTACTGTTATCCCACTTGCAGGTCATACGAATTGTTCACAAAACTAAAGAACTGTTTTAGACGAGTTTAGGCAGGCAATATTTATGTCGTATATTTTTTTTTTAATTAAAGGTGAACATTCACGTAAATTCTCGCATTTTTGTTTAAGGCCTTGTATCTGAATTTGAAGAATTGAAGGCAGGTCAAAGGGGGAACAAAATCTTACTTTCTCAAGGTCTTATCCTTGTTTGGGAGCATTTCCTCCGGTTGTGCAGAAATTGAAGCTGGATGTCTTAAATCCGGCTCATGATAAATAAAAATGCATGAAATATCTTTCCGGTGAATGCTTTGTCTCTTTCTTTTCAGATACTACTCAGTTATATTATTTTACTACTCCGAATGCTTGACAACAAGAAAAAATTGGTCCTTTATGGTTCCTTGTTTGGATGCAGGATTGCTCTGTCAGTTAGAGAAATCGACAAGCGTGATCGGCTTGACGCGGGTTATTGTTCATTTAATGATTCTAGTCATCAGTTTTTGTTTATCTCCATGTCCGTAGGTATCCTTACCTGCGGAATGCAGCATGGTATTTCAGCATGTACTTCTAGTCAGCTAGTTCATCTATGCCGAAGCGAAGACAATCCGGTGCTTGGTAGTTCTCGGGTTGCGGAGAGCTTGGTCCTAACGAGTTCCCTGTAAGTAATTTATTCTTGCGTGCAGAGGCAACCACATCATTTTTTTCTGCATTCTTTTTACCACCGGGAGTGTATGTACGAGGCGCGGCATTTGCCTTCTGCACGAGGAGGCACCTGCATAACGTAATGCTAACAAGACTTTCTCGGCTGCGCTGAAAGACACTTAGCACTAACGTCAGAAGCGTAAAGCGGGTGCGTTTCTCAATAATGAACATAATTCTAGTGGTGTGTTTTGGGAAACATTCCAGTAGGTGCAAGTGCGGACAACTGATCGCACTCATGGCCTTCTTATACAATTTGGGGGAAAATGTTCAGCAATGTGTATGATTTATCTCGTCGAAGTTCGATGAAAAAAAAAGGAACACGCTACCAAGATCCTTTTACCGTTATCCATACACGGTTAATTTTGAGAACCAGGTTCTCGATCATAGTTCGTTGCATTAAGCAGTAAGTATGGTCAGCATCTGTCGTACGACTTATTCTCAAGTCATTTTGGCTGACAACCAGATACATTTTCCAGTGGCTTTTCCAGTATCCTTATACTATTGCTATTGTCGTAGTTAACGCAGATAATCATCCACTCAAACTGCTTGTTATTTGCTAAATGTAAAGAGTACATCAGAGTAAATTATATTACCCTCCTTAGAACCCATTCATTTTACTCCAATAGATGGCATGATAGTAAGAATCTACCATGAATGTGGAACATACAAACGCAACGTTGGCACTCAAATTGACAATGTGAGGGTCTACTGTGTCGTCGATGGAGAATACTTCAGGGATGTGCAGGAAGAAATTCCGCAACTAAAATGGTTAATTCTGAAGGAACGCTGTCTTGGAACATCCCCTTACGATCCAAGAAAGGAGGATATCAGCAACATCGACTCTCCGGTATCACTGTCTGCGGCTCCGAGTTATGGCAGCGACATTTGTTTACTAGGTAATTAAGCATGCTTTTATTAACCAAATTTTAGATTGCATTTAAACTCAAAACGAAAACAGGACATAGAAGAGTTAGAAAAAGCCTCTATGATTGAAATTAATCCCGATAATGTTGCTGTCACCCCGTTAAGTTGGTGTCCGGCAGCTTCTTCAATATATTCATTGAAGTCCTATATTACGGTCGCGGCTTACAGTACCTTGCTAAAATAGTAGTATTTTCACAGCCTTTATATCGGAAACTGGACTCGCTTGGTCCCATTTATAACGTATCCTTTGTCTAAGTCGTCAGTTAGCGGTCAGATTTCAATTGACAGGCCAACAGGCCAATTGACAGGCCAAAACTCAGATAATTTATCTTAGAATAAGATAAATCTCTCAAAACTGAAATAGTATTCCAGTAGTTGTCTTGGAACACTAAAAATGAAAACGACTAGCATTATGGATAGAGACAGCAGTTTGCAGTCACGTTATATTTACAACAGAAAATTGCGCACATATCGCTGTAAGATGAGTATGTTTTTCTTCCTAGGCCGTGATGTCCGAGATGACGAGAAAATCTCGCGTATAATTGAAGCTCTCAATGGATTTGAGACCGGTAAATGCGCACCTTATGTTTACGTTTAATTTTCCATCGGTTCAATGAAGCTAAATTGGTTACTTGCTATTTGCAAGTAGGTACTTAATGTTGCCACTCTTTCGACGGTTTTTGACTAAGTTGCCCTACTTTATGCAAAGCTTTTTTAGGATGTCCATTCCAGTTTTTTCAGATTTTGCAATATTTTTATTGTTCTTAAGATGTTGCTCAAGGGGCCACTGAGTGCACAAGCAGTGTTAGAAAATTTAGTGCAGAATGCCTGCGTAAAATGCACCACAAATTTGCGGAATACCCGATGACACCGTATATTGCGCAAGATCCTCCGCAATTATGAAAACGTATAACGCTTATATGTAAAACTGTCAGTGAACGGATCTGATAACCTGAAATACCGCCCATATTTGAGAAACAAGAAAAGTTGAATAGGAAACAACACTAACACCAATTTGCAGTAAAAGGTAATTGAAATATAGATCAACTAGTAAATATGATTAAATGCTTATGCGTCACCCAATGTCAATCAATAGATACAACTGCTTATGTACTTTATCAAGTTGCTCGTATTTACAGTCACTTTTTTTTGATAAAAAGACGTAATTATCGTAAGAAACTCATTCTCACAGCTAAGAATAGATTGTGCGCCAAAATTTGGTCTCGTTGCCCAGGAGAGACCGCACGGTTATGACAAGCAATAGCCACATACGGTCCTCCTGAGCAGGTTTCGTGTTTCAAAAATAATAACTCTGGGACAAATGAGTTGCCTCTGGTCAGTTCATTCCGAATATGGCCCTACCCACCTAAACAGAAGTTTTCTAGCCCTTGCTGCTGTCTGATCAATTTACTTTATACTAGTCCCTTTAGCATCAACTTCGGATCTAACCAAGTTTGACTATCTATAAGGGGGTACTCACCACTTCTGTTAATTTTGTCTTTTAACTCCGTCAATCTACATAATATGTTACGAGAAACTGACTAAGCTAGAGAACATCCTAGAATGTGAGAGTAAAGATCGAGCTCGCTTAATAGGTTTTCCAGTTAACACACCCATTCATTAAAATAGTTTTGGGACTAAACTTGAGTCATCCATTCACATTTACGTTATTCTTTCATTTAGAGCATCCATTTACCTAAAGAACATGTATAATTGTAATGGTTGCGTTTGAAAAATAAATACGCTTTAAAGTTTACAGAAGGGAATATTCAGCCCAAATAATTCCCTGTTACATGCGTTATTAAAACATTCAATTTTACGTTTTAGCAAATCAAAGTAGCGCTTCTACGGTGGCCAGCATAATCGAAGCACTCAAAGCTGTAAGGGGAGGCATTTTATCAGCGGAGTTATTCTTATCTCAACTTGGTTCTGGTATGGGCACGATTATCAAAAAACTTGAAGAAAAACAATAAACAATATTAACTTTTTCTCATTCTTTTCTTTGAGTCTTTTTATGCTCCCATTTTATGATTCGATGTAGTTTTCCTTTCAATCTCAAAAGGATATATGGAGACTAATTTTGCACAGATTCGACTGTCTTACCTGCTCATTCTAGTATTGGTATTGATACTTCATTTTCTCGTTTCAAAATACTACAAAATAAAATTATATGGTTGAGAATTATATTTTTCTCAGTAGAACTCCAAGTCGGAGCAATTACTCCGTTGTTTCTTCCTTAACCACTGTAGTATTGTGACGTCCTGTTGATGGCTAACTTTATCGGTGTCTTAATTTTACACAAACTGTCACTATGGAATTTTTTAGGTGGTAAGTATTAACTTTTGAATCGCATGACAGGAATCATTCGAAAAGTCTCCTTTTTAGTCATAAAGGAGTATCATATCTCAGAAAATTCAAGTATATCTCTAAACTGGAAACTAAAATATGAGCAAATCGCAAATAAAAACCTATCGGTTGACATAAGGCAACTGTCGTGGAAATGGGAAATGAAGTATATTTTTGGAAGTTTTAGGAAATTCAGTGGTGGTTAAACAGATAAATTTGGGTTTAGTTATTCTGACGTTTGAAATGCGTAAATCAAAGAAAGCTACTTCTACCCAGACTGTCCTGTACGGAAAGTATTTTTCTGTTATATTTATTAATTTCATCACTTTGACTGTTTATATAGCCTTCTACTGTTTTTTTAACCAAACTCATGATTGCTTGTTCAATTTGAATCGGTTAACTACGAGGGATTCCACATTGTACTTCATATAAGTGAAACGTGTCAGACGATTTCGAACGATATTTACAATGCTTTAGCATTTTTCTAGGATTTGTGTAGAATTAATTTTGTGCTAAATTTCATTTAGTGGTGTGAATCATAAGTAGATTTTGAATTAATGAGCGACCTGATTTGACGATTAAAGCTACACATTATATTTAAACGTCACCATAATTTTTATCAAATTCACTGTGTTTATGAATAGGCACGTACATTGAAGAAGATGAAAATGTCTGATAATTCCAGGCGGCAAGGCTTAACAGAGTTTATACACGATAACTATAGAAAAATTATCGCCCAGGCTTTGCAGAAGAAAAGGGAAAATATGACTACATCCAACAGACTGCATGTTAAGTCGACTAGAAGCTAACGTTGGCAGTATTTCTATAAATGAATATAATGAAAACAGTTGTGTAAATATTACTTAAAGACGTAAGTTTATTTTCTTTTAGCTTCGCCAAACTGCTCTCCTATTCTATGAATATAACACATTTAAAAGAATCGCAGGATTTAGGAATAAAGCCGCTATTTTCTTCAATCTTTAAATGAAAATGGTATATTTATGGAAGAAAGCTCCTTCCGAGCGATTGGTTCATTATTGCGCATACGCAGACTATAGAGTAAGACGGAAATTTTAACCAAATCGAAACATAATTATGCGCACATTATAGTTATTATTTGGCGTTTTACAAGCCCGTTGTCTGCATCAAAAAACTCTGAAGATAGGAGCGTATAATTGAAGCTTAGTTGTATTCTTGAATTTCTTCGTTATCCTCTTGGAGTTTTGCATGTGATGTAGTAATAATGTAGCTGTGGGAAAATAGTAAAATATAAGGGAATGCAAGGTATCGAGAGAAGGAAACAGCTCAGAAATATCAGACAAATGTAGTGAATGGGCATACTGCAAATATCTACGAAGCTTTAGATTTTAGTATTTTATTGTCTCACGAAAAGAGAGGCCTTCTGAGGTATTGACTGCGAACTGCACATTGGACTTCACGGTGTTTGTAAACTGCACTAAGGACATTCTATAGGAAAATTACTCCATGTACCCATTATTCAAAGATGGTCCCATCCCATGAAAAATCAGTCGGAGTGCTGAAATATGTTCTCTATTTAAAGAATTACTTTAGTAGCATCGCGAGATTAAGCATCGTGAAATCCTATCGCAAACTGTTCCAATCACGGCAGGATGCCAGCTTTTGAACGCGCTTCATTGTAACCACCACCAAAAAGGCCACTCTGTAATAAAATAGCTACCTAATGAGTATGAATTTTTTTATTGATTTTCGATGCCCCTATAAATTCTATAAATTTTTTCTGGCCAGCATACATTAAAATATCCTTTCTTTTATTAATTGGGTAACGGCTTACATCTCCTTAAATTTTATTGCTTAAGGAGAGGATATCTTTGGGGTTAACTATCCTTCTAAGGTGCCGGATAATGTTGAACACTATCGATCATTCATGGTTTCCCATCTACATGCTGCATAAGTTCTGTCTGAGTAAAATTATACATTTCTCTTCGTTATAAGGAATAGATCACTTGGTGCTCATTTTATTATGTAATGGATTTGGATCATCTTGTATACTCTATAGAAAACTTTTTTTTAAATTGACTGGAACTAGGGGCTATGAATGAATACTTTGTGGTATTAAAAGGCTCCTAATAAGAACCGTGTAGGAAAACCGAAGGATATCCTTTCGTCAAGTATAACATTTGCAGATGAGATAAATTGCTACCAAATAAGCAAAAGAAAGGATAAACTTGTTTATCTTCTCTTTACAACATTTTTAAAGATTATTGAGGAAAATCCATACTACCTAAATAGCCATTTTTCACACAGTAGGGACTTTTAAGGTTAGCGGGAGGAAGTTCATTAGAAAACCGGCATCCTGACGTGAGTAAAAGATCTAGAGATTATGCTGCATGATAATTATACTTACAGTCTTTTTCAAGCAATTTGATCAAATATAAAACATATTTCAAAATTAAGATTGACATTTGAAGAGATAAGCACTCTACTGCGTGTCATGTGAGCACTCAGCCATTCAATTACGTTCTTTCGTGCACCAATTCAATTGCAATACAGGAAGCATGTATTGGTTCGCATGAATATTTGGATATAAAACGAAAAAAAATATCAGTGATTTTGTGTGTGGATGAGGTAGACTGCGCCAACAAATGGTCTTTATCAAATAGCACTTGAATATAAATAAAATTAACCTTTGATTAATGAACAGAATTATCAGACTTCCGATGAAGGCGAAAACAGCTAGTTTCAAAAGCTCATATGAGAGTATCGAGGACTAACTTACTTCCGATGGTAATGCTCATAACTCGTTAGCAGACGCACTGTGCGCGTTTTAAAGTCACCTCAGCTGTCTATTGCTTAAAGTCTTGCGATAACTTTACATCCAAAGTCCATCAATAGGTGCACTGAGCGTGGGTTGCATTAAGCTCACAGCCAACCTATCGCCGCCTATTTATGAATATACTCTGCATTCGAATTAAGTAATTATTCGGGTCCTCTATCAGTGTGCAAAGCTGACGTTGAACCAATCAAATATGACATCTACTTGTGTGTTCTATGCGATAAAATCCGGAAGGGCTTAGCTCAAACGTTGGTTGTGGGCTGTTCAATGCATTGCTAAAACTTTTGACATCCAGCGTGACTGACGCGCCTATTTATAAAATATCTGAAGGTGGTGAGAAAATGCATAAAGTTTTCAGCAAACCTTTAGAATAGGTTTTTAGTTTGGAATTATTATTTGAGTAGACTTGTGATACCGCCTATTGCATAGTATGGACG